TATCAATATGTAATTTGATTATATAAATTTCTTTTAGGCGAATTTAACTAAAATAATATACAATTCCCAGGCTGCAAATGGACTTACACCACTTTCATAATTAGTCAATTGTAAATATCATTTAATTTCAATTTTGAAATAACAAATATCGCTTAAAATATATCTCATATTAATCCAATTTTGTTTATAAATAATAACAAGAAATAAAATAGGATTAGCATTTTTTATTTTGAACGTTAATTATATTTATATATTGTTAAACTTAACACAAGATATTGGTATTATTAATTATTTATGCTCTTCATGTGGCAGTGTTTTGAAATATTCATGATGCGCAGGAGGTATATAAGGTAATAGCTGCTGCATATCCTTATATTTTTCGTATGTAATAGGCTTGGCATCGTGATGGAAATTGGACTTACACCACTTTCATAATCAATGGCTACGCAATTTCTTTTATCGGCCAATTTTAAATTGAACAAAGCATTGGCATTTTTTAAGATATTAAATACTAACTAGTTATAAACAAAAAGTTTACACTAAATTAAGCATAAATTACGTCATATCTCATTTTTAAAAAAAAAAAGGACTCACACCACTTTCAAAATAAACGGTCCATATGATCGTAATACATTTTTTCGTAGCTGGCGAATTTTCGAAGATTTCAAGGTGATCTTCACTTTCTTTTATCATAATCGTATATTTTTCGAAGCATTAGTTGACGCAGCTCGACATTTTCTACAAAAAAGTATTAATTTAAGTATGTCGAAGAATGATTAGTTCAGCAGATGTTCAGTGTTATTTTCCGATGAAAGTATGTGCATAAGATTAATGTACATAATACGCACTTTTCGGCACGGCAAAAAGCACAAAATTAAAGAGAAAATATCTGCTAATCTAATAAATTCTCGACATACATAAATGAATACTTTTTTGTAGAAAATGTTCAGCTGGATCAACTAATGTATAAACAAAAAAATATGATCATAATTAAAGAAAGTGAAGATGAAATCTCCGAAAATTCGCCAGCTGCGAAAGCTCGTATCACGCGTCTCTCTGAATTGAAAAACTTTTGTTCGCGAAGTTTTTCGATACCTTCGAAAATAACAGAGATACTTAGGTGGTGGCCTCGTTTAGCTGAGACACCCTATATAAACAAGCGGGTCCTCCAACATTATTTGACAAATATAAAGTTAATCATAGCGGAAAACAAATGGAAGCCACAGGCAATTGATCACACCCCGCGGAAACTGGCTCCACCACCCTAGGAGAAGGGAAAAGGGTGCCGGGTGCCGACTCCTTTACCTTTGAAGCTCTTCCCCCACATACGTCGCGTGAGATTACCGCCGTCCAAATTGACCTTATCGGGATGTTCCGGCAGACTGTCCTTGAGTGCGAGGGCATAGAGGAGTACGGCGTCGTAAAACGCCGTGACGAACGTCGAGACCGTGCTGTTCCCGAAAGTGAAATTGTACTTGCTCTGGGCCAACGATTTCACTTTTCGCGAGAAGTTCAAGTACTCGACGTTGTCCGGTGTGCGGGGTGTCACCGTTAGCAACGCTTGATAAGCCTTCCGCGCTTTCTCGTTTCTCTCGTCGCTGTCCGTTTCCACCCTCCACGGTTCCAGCGAATCGTTGTCGCTGAAAAACAAAAATCAACCAAACAAATAAACAAATTTCGCTTTCCGCGAACGAGACACGCCGGTGCCGCGTTCGTCGGCGTTCGGGAAGGGCGGGAGGGAAGATTGCGGTTTGCGGGGGCTCCGATGCGTTCCACGAAATCCGATTCGAGGGTAAATCGGGTGGAGACGCGCTTCTCTCGTCCTCTCTCGCTCGATCGATGGGATTGCAAGGTGCGGCACGCCGCGAGTCCTCGACTCGCGTTTCCGGTTGCGCGCGTCGCGTTCTGATCGCATTACGATCCCGCCTTGATTACGTTCTAATCGGTTTCGTAATTCGCCCTCGGGTCGGGGCGAGGGATATCGTCGGCTTACCTGGACGACAGCTCGATGGAGAAAAACACGTATTCCCCGGAATCCACCATGCCGAGCTCCTCGGCCGCCAACAATATCTCCCGGATGGTGGTCGCGTTGGCGCACATCACTACAACTGCAACAACCAGGGAAAAATGATCTTTCGTGCCGGCTCTCGCGTTCGCGAGAACGCCTCTCGCAAATTGGATCGCGACCCGGACTCGACTCGGACAACGGCGAGGACGTTTCTAAATCCCAATGTTACGCGTTTCGTTCCTAAAAAATGATTTCGTCGTGTTAGTTTCTCATCTATCAACGAGATACACGAGGAGTCGCATCCTCACCAAACTCTCCGTTGTCAGACACATGCGTAATGTGGTCACCTCGTTCTACCATGTATGTACATAGTCGGATTTGTCAGTAGAATGTCAAGATTTTTGAAAAATGTCTCAACTACAGTAAGGAGCAAAAGTGACCACACACGCGCACACACACCTTTTAAAACGGTGTAATTATTATTGTAAATGTTAGGGGAACTAGTTCACTCTACACACACAATAACTAGAATACTTTTTTCCCAATTTCGCTACTATTTGGAATAAAAAAATTTAAGAAACTCCCGTTTATTTCACTTTTTTATTGATAATGAAAATTTAAAAAATGTGTTTGATACTTCTCGGTAACTTATATACGCGTTGAAAATTTCATTGAAATCGGTCGTCGCATAGCCGCTAAAACATGTAAAAATTACCTGTTTCTGGTTAAATATTCATGAAATATTGCGATTCTCGTGGTTTTTAATTATCCACAGCTTATGTCGTGACGAACCGATGTCAATTAAATTTTCAACATGCACACAAGTTGCCGAGAAATATCAAATGCATCTTTTCAATTTTCATTATAGATAGAAAAGTGAAAGAAACGATAATTTTTTACACTTTTTTTATTCCAAATAGAGTTGATTCTCCCTAATTGACGCTCAGATTGTACACAAAAACGGTCAATTTGAGAAGAGGAAACACGATTATTCGAGGCTTGCGGTTCGTTTTTATAGTTACCGATCGTCAACAACTATAAAAACGAGCCGAGAGCTGTCCGAATGATCGTATCTCCTCTTCCCAAACTGTTCAGTTTTGTGCACAATCGGAGCGTCGATTAGGAAGAATTTACTGTAATAGCAAAACTAGAAAAAGAAAGTATTTTAGTCATTGTACAGTGAACTGGTTCCACTAACATTTATAAAAAAAAAGTCAAGTCATTAATCGTCAAAATCGGTACACTTTACCAATTTTACCAACTTTCTTTAAATACGTCATACTTTACTTAATCTTTGATCTATTGGGTTGGCAACTAAGTAATTGCCGATTTCGGTTATAGATGTCTCTCATTTTTATGATATCTGTAAATGTTATATTATAAAATTATTATTATTATTATTATGTTATATTTTATTATCCGTGAATGTTATCAACTGGACAAATTGAATGCAACGGTCAAGGAAAAGCGACCAGAATTGGTCAATCGTAAAGGTGTCATTTTCCACCAGGACAATGCTAAGCCGCACACGTCTATGTCCACTCGGCAAAAATTGATGGATATTGGTTGGGAATTGATGTTACACCCACCATACAGCCCTGATCTCGCGTCATCGGATTACAACTTATTTCGATCTCTGGACAACTCCCTTCGTGGTAAAACTTTTAATGATGATGACGCTGTAAAATCTCACTTAACTCAGTTTTTGGCCGAAAACGATCAGACTTTCTACGAACGTGGAATTTTCAAGTTGTCAGAGAGATGGCAACAGGTCATCGAGCAAAGTGGAAAATACATTACAGATTAAACTTCATTCCAAGTAAAAAGAAATTTTTTATTTCATTGAACAAATCGGCAATTACTTAGTTGCCAATCCAATAGATATAAAATCATCAATGGATCCCCATCCGTTGCCCGTTACTACTAGACCGATTTTATTTTATCTCATCTCGGACATCCATCGGACATCCATCGGACACCATATTATTTTACAACAGGAGAATCAAATCATGCTATACGACAGCAATAACGGTTTAAACAAGATTACTTAGGAATGTTAATATCTGCTGCAAACATTTGGATCTCTGTTCTATCCGTACGTATTTCGAGCATCGGGTGCATCGTTTTCTCGAACTCCTATCGTTAACCGATACAGTAAATTCTCCTCGATCACCTTTCTGCTTGTAAACGGAAATGGACAATTTGAGAAAAGAGAATACGATTACCCGAGCCTTGCGGATCGTTTTCATAGTCGCCGATTGTCAACAACTATAAAAATAATCCGCGAGACTCTAATAACACTGTCCGACAAAATCAAACTTTTTTTCTGGGTTTCTATAGCCACTATGAAATTCTTGTAGAGCTTCACTCCCTGAACAAGAATCCGAAAACCGAATTGCTCCATCACACTCAGTTTTTTAAATAAACGAACTTTTGCAAAAACCCAAAATTTTCGACAAAAATGAGGTATTTCATGAAAAGTACAAAGGTTAAAAAGTTCTAATTGGTGTTAAAAGATAGAGGAGAATTTCCCGAATATAGTGGCATGCAATTTATTAATTGTTTTTGGACCTAAATAGCAATAAATTAATGTCAAATTTTTAAAAAGTATCGACGTGAGCAGTTTCTGCGCAATATTTTTGTATTTTTACGAAAAGGTTTTTTGTTCAGCACGAAACTCTACCCAGGATCGGATTCTGTAGACATTTCTGAAGAAGTGCCCTATTGGATCCCTCCATCGGTGTTGATTATCCATAGCTTCGGTCCTGTCGGGCAGAGAGAAGCGAGCAGCGAAGCTCATGGCGGCAAAACGTCGTGTACATGTTGCCGTCGAACATTTTCTCGATCTATTCAAAATGTATATCGTTCCGACACTTTTACCGGGCCGTTTCTTCTTCAGAAATGTCTACAGAATCCGATCCTGGGTAGAATTTTCGTGCTGAACAAAGAACTTTTCGTAAAAATACAAAAATATTGCGTAGAAACTGCTCACGTCGACACTTTTTTAAACTTTGACATTAATTTATTGCTATTTAGGACCAAAAACAATTAATAAATTGCATGCCACTATATTCGGGAAATTCTCCTCTATCTTTTAACACCAATTAGAACTTTCTAACGTTTGTACTTTTCGTGCAATACCTCATTTTTGTCGAAAATTTCGAGTTTTTACAAAAGTTCGTTTATTTAAAAAACTGAGGGTGATGGAGCAATTCGGTTTTCGGATTCTTGTTCAGGGAGTGAAGCTCTACGAATCTTCGCTTCCCAAATTGCCTATTTTGGTTTACGAGCTGAGGTTTACGAATTTATTGTAACTTGCAATCCTCCGAATGTTATTCAAACATCAAATAACACTTACTCCTGGCGGAATTCGAGAGAGTTTCGAGCAACCGCCTGTAATTCTGGCTTTCGTCCTGATCGAAACTACGATGGTAAGACGTCTTGTTTAGAGCGGTGAAAACGGCGCTGAGGGTGAAGTGGCACTCGGAATGGCCGCGGCTGCTCGTCATCGGATGATTGTGATACAAAAGCCCGATCAGTTTCCACCCGAATCGCCTCAAGATGTTCTTGAGCGCCTCGCCCACCAGCCGATAAGAACCCATCATTCTGGTCAAAGTCGGATAGTGCTCGCTCTTGTGGCGGAACGCTTCCGCCCGACCGCCCGCCGTCAGCACGGGAATGCCCCAAACCCCGGCGTATCTCGCGACAGGTGCGATCACGTAGTCGCAGACTGGACCCAGAAACGCATCTGCGCTGCCAAAAATCAGCGTACGAATCGAAACCGTTCCGTCTCCGAGACGCAGAAACGAGAACGCGAACGCGAACCAGGGAAGGCTTCCGTGACGCGAGCCGTTCGCGCGATCATCCCTTTCTCTCGCCCTCTGGCTACCCGTAGAAAATCTATCTCGTTCCCCCGTTCTCTTTCTCCCCGCGGTTCGATCGCGAACACGAACATCTATCGAGAAGGAGGGCACGATGGGCAACCAGTTGCTCGAAGCTCGAGCGAATACGAACGCCGGAAGCATAGGCGTCACGAGTACCGTCGCGTGATCCCACCGATCCAGGAATCCTAATCCTAACTCGAACCCGGTTCTGCTCTCAGTTTCGTAGAGTAACCCCGGTTAACCCGGTTAACCCGCTCTTATGACGGATTAATGCATCCCAAGAGAATGTATATTGAATTTGATCAGAATATTATTCATTAGAGAATTTGTTTGTATCTGTATATAATTGCATCCACTTTTTTAACCCTTCGCACTCGAGTGGTGACTCTGAGGCACTATTAAAATGTATGATGTCACGTTCTAATTATGGTTTTTACATTAGCAAAGTTTAGATTTAAAAAGATTGTTAAGAGCGTAACCGTTGTGTGAATCACAAGAGTCAATCTCATGTGCATAAAATGTACTTTGTCATGTGAAATAAGAATACTATGAGTCAGAAAAATTATTTTAGATTTACAGTTGAAATAGCATCCAGTGCAAAGGGTTAAAACAATTGTTTTGGTCCAGAGAGATCACTGTGCGATGCTTGCGATATTATAACGTCAAGCAACCTATTTTATTAATTTATTTGATGCGACATTCTCTGCGGCGAAGAATAAAACATGCTATTTGCTATTCGCAGCAAGGAGCGAAAGGTGTTATTTTACGCGGATAAAAATGATCCGTTGCTAGTCGAACCACTAAAATGAACTGGTTTTCGCAGCGAGAAGCACAATATGTTAGTCCTCGTCGCTGCATATGAGCCGTTTATTTTGAAAGTGGCATAAGTCACTTTTTCAAAAAAAAATCGAGTTAATGGTAACACTAATTACAATTGAACGGTATCTTTCCATTCTAAAAAAATTTGCATTCAATAAATTGAGAACTATTGAGATTTGTTCGAGAGAAGTTTTGCTAATTAACGGTATAACAAACATGTTTATTTTGAAAGTGGCGTAAGTCGCTGTACTCAGGAAATTAATTGCGGGGCTTAGTGTAAAAGAAATAGAAACGTGTGATATGTGTGTGCAAAGTATTGTTTTGAATTATTTTCAGTATTTTTACAAAAGTTGTGATCACTGGTCTTATTTTTATAAGTGCGAAAGAATAGTGCTAA